TAAACTTTACGTTTTTTTTTTTGATACAGTTGTACAGGCTGCACATTTTACAGACTTTTTCCCTCAGTGGACTTCCCACGTCATCTTATTGTGGGATACTGGACAGCCACACACCTTCAAATATCACTTAGTGTTGTGCGGCATGGATCCATTACAAATTCCCAGGGATAAAAGTCCCCAATTTACTCCCACCCCCAACTCTCCAGCCTCGATCGCTCCTGGCACAGCAAGGAGCCGAATAAGTGAAACTGTGACTTTTGGCAGTGGAGACCCAATTATTTGATTTGGATTAAAGATCCAGGCCATCCCCCATGGTGCTGTTCAGTGCTGTCCCCTGTGGAGCAGCTGCAGCGCTGTTGAAAATCTAATGGGCGTGTGGCACTTGGACAAGTTTCATTGATCTATTTCTTTTTGTCTTTATGTAATATGGTTGTAAAATAGTGATGGGCGGAATGTAGGGCTGAACAATTTTGCAAAATAATCTAATTGCGATTTTTTTTAATTATTTTTTTTACTAATATTGCGATTGTGATTTAATATCACAATCGCAATAAGGGGAAGTCATGGCCTAATGGTTAGAGAGTCGGACTCGTAACCCAAAGGTTGTGGGTTCTAGTCTCGTACCGGCAGGGATTGTAGGTGGGGGGAGTGAATGTACAGCGCTCTTTCTCACCTTCAATACCACGACTGAGGTGCCCTTGAGCAAGGCACCGAACCCCCAACTGCTCCCCGGGCGCCGCAGCAAAAAAATGGCTGCTCACTGCTCCGGGTGTGTGTTCACGGTGTGTGTGTTCACTGCTGTGTGTGTGCACTTTGGATGGGATAAATGCAGAGCACTAATTCCGAGTATGGGTCACCAAACTTGGCCACATGTCACATCACATATGCGATTTTTTTTTTTTTTTTAAAGCTCGTTATGTTTTGTATTATTCAACAAAGACAAGCTAACTTTAGACCATGCAGTGGTTCTCAAACTTTTTTGGTCGCGCCCCCCTTTAAACCTATAAAAAAAATCTGGGTCTGTGCGACTTCATCTATGGCTTTTCTCTTCCCTTTCACAAACCGATCCATCTCCCATTCTAAGTTACGTTCTTTGGCTGTTTACTGTTTTATTTATTTTCTTTTTCTGCTGATGGCCCACGCTCGACTTGAAGCAGCGCTGCTTATGAAGTACGTTCATTATATACGCTTTCAAATATTTCCGCGTGTAACATTAGCATGCCAGGGTTGCCAGGTTTTCACAACAAAAACCCGCCTAATTGCTACTCAAAACTAGCCCAATCGCGTTTCGAGGGGGGTTCCACCGGTAAAAATAGCCTTCCAGGGGGTAAAATACACGTTTTTTGGAGGGGTTCCCCAAATCGCGGACTTGGCAACACTGTAGAGTGCCAACTTGATGCTTCCTCTGAAGACCGCTTAGATGTGTTCGACTTGAAGCAGCGCTGCTTAGACCGATGGGTGTGTGTCATCAAAGTACTGCGAGAGCTATAAGAGAGCACGGACGTCTCCTTATGCTTTCTCTCGCCGTACTTTGATGTCATACACCGATCGATCTTCAAGTGGAACACACCTCTTCACTCTCGCGCATCACGTGACCGAGTGTAATCGCAGCCTCTGCGATTGAAAAATCGCGTTATTTCATATCGCGATATTATCGCAAATGCAATTAATCGTTCAGCCCTAGCGGAATGGCAAAAATCTTATATTCTTATATCACAGTAGTAGTATGTAGTCATTTTTTGCTGAGAACTGCCTTGTACCTTTTTCTGTACCTCTATCTTTTCTGTTTGTTTGTTTTATTAATTAATTAATTAATGAATTTTTATTTAGAACTTGATTGTATTCTTTTTAAAATGTATTTCTCTGATTTTATTTATTTATTTGTATTTTAATTTTTTTGCATTTTTTATTTTGAGAACTTGCCTCTATCTTTTTTGTTCTTATTTTTGTTTTATTTATTTATTTTTATTGTTTGGGGAATTTCTTTGATTTTGTTTTTCATGTCTTTTTTTTTTGTCTTTGTTTTTTTAATGATTTTTTTTTTGACCTTGTACCTCTATCTTTTCTTTTTATTTATTTATTAATTCATTCATTTATTGTTCTTTTGTTTTGGTTCAGTTTTTGTTTTTATGTGGGTAACTTGAGTGTATCTGTCTTTATTTTTACCATTTATTTCTTCTTTTTATTCTGTTTTATTTTTCAGTTCATTTGTATGATTTGATATTTTGCAATGTTACTTAGTGACTGTAAATGACCTATATTTACGTTAAATGCATGTGACGCATCAAAATGAAATTGCTCCCAACAAAGCTATAATCAACAAAGCTATCTACACTAAAAGTGTGGTCTGTTGCACCATTTGAAGTGTAGGCTGTCATTTTATTTTTTTGTGTCCTTATATATTTGTACCACAGATTTACAGTATAGCAGAATCTTTACATTGTCATACCGCCCAACCCTGTTGTAAAAGAATGCTTTAACTAAGAAGAAATCAAACAACCTAAGTGCCTCAACTGAATAGTGACTCATGGTGAGTGCTGATGACACATCTGTCCCACACAGCATGATCTCTAACTTATCAAAATGCAATTACCACCCATTCCTATCAGCATACTGGTATATTTGCATTAACACCCAAAGAGGTCTGCTTGATAGGGGAGGTTACTGTTTCATCTCAGTTGAACAATCCTATCTAAGTGTTGATAGCACTTTGGGAAGCCCACCCTGTTATAGCATTACTGCTTGTTGACTTAATGTCTCTGGTTTCTCAATGATAGATTATATTCACATTAGAAGATCTCTGTTTGCGACCTTTTGTTAGGATATATCACTTATCTAGTAGACTCGTGCTGTGGTTTCCACCCGTACTGATGTTTTTCACTAAAATAATATTTTTCATGAGCTACACTTAAAAATAAAGGTTCTTTATTGGTGTCGATGGTTCTATGAAGAACCTTCGACATCTGTGGAACCCTTTCTTTGCACAAAAGGTTCTTTATACTGGAAAAAGGTTTTTTAGATTTTTAGAATGTTCTTCACACTAAAAAAATGGTTCTTTTAAGAACTGTTCACTCAAAGGTTCTTTGAGGATCTAAAAATCACTTTTGGAACCTTCATTTGTAAGAGTATAGAGTTTTGTGTCCATCCTTTTTGCCCAAGTCTTTATTTACCACATTCAGATGTTACAAACACTGAACAATGCCATGTGTTTGTTCCTTCAACCCCAGTAATTATTTGCCGTGGTCAGCTAGGGTAGTGGTTTCTGTCGAATTAATATGGGGGAAGGGGCTTTCATTTCCTTTGGGTGGTCATCTGCTTCCTCTTCTCAGCTAATTTGGCCAGTAACCAATCAGTTCTCCCTTAATATGATTAGTAAGGCCAAAGCCTGACCTGTAAGCCTGATAACAGCTTGCACAGTTCTTGTAAATGTCTTCGATGCAGGATAATGTTTTGCATTCGGCTCACGTGTTGACGCCATTTGGCTTGACGTGTGCACCGGACGAAATCCGTAGAAGTCTGAGATTTCTCGTAATCCTTTTATAATGGAATTCAATACACGAGTGCTTGCTGTTTTCAGATTCCCTCAAGGTTATACAGTAGACGCTCATTCACTTGACACATCACAATGCCACACAGCATGGATGCCCACCTCAGTTGATTCCCTGCCGGGTTCCCACTCCTGGGCCCAGCTGGTGTGTGTTTGCTGTAAACGTGAAGAGGGCCTAGCTGTAGACCGCGCTCTTACCCAGCTGTGATTCACTTAGCATATTAAAGAGTGGGGCGGTGAATGAGTCCTGTAAACTGCTTTATTGCCACTCTGCCTTTTCCTTTTAGACTTTGTGTAAATGAATACTGGAGCCGCAGTGGATAACTTGTAATCAAGCACAGGGCATGTGCACAGGGGGACTATTAGATTTTATAACTGTTTTGTAGTCACGCCCTCTGGGTAACAAGGGTGACGCAGTGCTAAAGCTGATTGCCTTCAAGCAAATGAGCTAAAAACATTGCATCACTCTTAATACTAGAGATATACCAGTGTATCTGTAACATGGGTTATTGGCTGATATTACAGATTTTAAGTCGTATCGTTATCACTCCATATTAGATGTGTGCCAGCTTACATGAGATAATATTGGATATTTCTGCATGCTTATTATTTAGATTACTTTTTCCATCATCTAACTCTGTTATTCTTTAAAATCCCTGATAAAGATTACAGTTAACAGTGTTATTAAATTAACACTGTTAATTGTAATATTTAGTAAATGTATTTATACATACAATTTTATATTTGTTTCATTTTAAATGCTATTTTTAGTTTCTTTTTAAAATGGTATGCAATTTAATATCAGTCATCGCTTTCTTACAAATGGTTTGGTATCACCTGTATTTTAGATGTATTAAAGTTAATTATTAGTTTTTTTTATCGGACTATTGAATGTTTAATTGTTCATTCTCATTTTCTCTATATTTAGATTTAAAATTGATCATTAAAACACTAATAATTATTTAATATTTATCTTTAGCAAATCTCAAAATGACTCTTTTTTTTCATATCGTATATGTTGTGATGCCTATATTGACTTTTGCATTTATTTTCTAATGTGTTTTATTATTTTTTTAAATTTTTTTTTTTAGACCAAATTGTATAGAATTTTTAATATTGGCCATTTATTGGTTTTTGGTCATAACATGAAAATAATAATCAGCCAGAAATTTTCAAAAGTTTGCATATGGTACATTTGTACTTTCCTTGTAGCTTCTGTCCACTGTCACCCAGTTTTCAGATCCGTACCCCTTCTTGTTCAGTCAAGACCGACCCTTGGAGTTCAAAGGTTAGCGTTAAGGAATGCCTTCCTGACATGCAGACAGGAGCCTGTTTGTGCATCTTGACTCCCGACACCCAATAACTCACTTTCTGTCCTTTCAGACAGTGACCCCCAATGTCATCCTCTTCTGTCACGTTGTTTTGCTAATTGTTTTTCTCTCTTTTCTCGTAGAATGGAAATTCAAGTTGGAACGAGGAAGGCGAGGGTGGGAGAAGCCGAGGAGAGGCCTCCAGAGACTTTGCCAAGGTAAACATTGTTTCTAAGCAATGGTCATTTAGTAATTACACACTTTGTCAGTGACACACAAACACAGTTTTGCTCAGTTATTTAACTTTATAGTAGCATGTAGAGGAAACAATTTTTATAGATTGGGGCTGTTAGTTTTTCATCACAATTAATGTATGCATTCAGTTCATATTTAAAGAAAGAAAATGAAATATACAATTATTGGGCTCTAACATTTTTGTCTGACAGATTACGGAACATGTACACTAATGTTCAAACGTGTAGGGTCTGTAAGGGGTGTTTTTTTTAATTTATTGTATTTTTTTTTATGTCTCTTATGTTAACCACGGCTGCATTTGTTTGATCAAAAATACAGTAAAAACAGTAATATTGTGAATTATTATTACAATTTATTACAATTACAAATACTTTTTTTTTTCTATTTTAATATATTTTACAATGTACTTTATTCCTGTGATGTAAAGCTGAATTTTCAGCATCATTACTGCATTCTTCAGAGTCATATGATCCTTCAGAAATCATTTTAATATGATGATTTGATGCTCAAGAAACATTTCTGATTATTATCAATGCTGAAAACAGTTGTGCTTAATATTTTTGTAGAAAACATAGTACATATTTTTAGGATTTTTTTATTTTTATTCGAAAGTTCAGATTATATTAGAAAGATGGTATTTAATTTACTTTATCTGAAGTTTCCAGTGAAAAATAAAATTAATAAAAAAAAAATTAAATGGTCAAATTTAATGATCCATTAACAGTATTATATACTTATTTAATCACATACTGTACATTAACAAATTGACAGCCCTTATTTGATATATATTAATTAGTGCTGTCAAAACGATTAATCGCATCCAAAATAAAAGTTTTTGTTTACATAATATATGTATGTGTACTGTCTGTATTTATGTATATATAAATACACACACATACAGTATATATTTTGAAAATATTTACATGTATATACATTTATATATTTATATTGTTATATTTTATATTATATATAAATATATTTAGTATATAAACGTAACATATTTCTCTGAAATATATACATGCATGTGTTTGTATTTATATATACATAATAAATATGCAGTGTACACACATATATTATGTAAACAAAAACTTTTATTTTGGATGCAATTAATCGCGATTAATCGTTTGACAGCAACGAGCAAACAAGGACTTTTGTTCAACCTTAAGAACAGTAGCTTTATGTCTACAAAGAAATTTACATAAAGAAGTTTCCAAAAGGATGTTACAATGATTAACTAATTAATTGTTAATCACAATTATTCTTTCAGCTTTACGAACTGGACAACGACCCACAACGGAAGGAGTTCCTCGACGACCTCTTTGCATACATGCAGAAACGAGGTAGGACAGGCTCTATTAATCCTATTTCAAACATTAATTTCCTCCCAAAGGGACCTACATCTTGTCTTTATAGGACAAGTATCTGTAGGAATAATTGAATCCACTTTAGCGTCACTCTTTGGTGATGAGCGATTTAAACGGACACCTACACCTAGTGTGGAGACGGCCCCCTTAGTTAAGTGGAATCATATGTCCCCGGTCTCAGATTAGCATACTGTGACAGAAAGATGGGCCTGACGGCGTCATCCGACTAAGCTCTAAGCGACACCGCTTGATGGGGCTATTGACCCCATACCACGGATTTAAACTCAACCAGATGGAGAGCTGTTTGTGTTGGTCAACCATCAAACCCCCCGTGCCACCTACTAGTGTGCGTAAGTGGGGTTGTCAGCTGAGACTTCATAATGGGCGGGGGATGGGAAATAGTGTGATCTTACCAAATGTCTGTCACGGAGGTCCTCTCAGCCATGATTAATGATGTTTTTTTGACTGATGGTGTGTGTGAAAATGACTTCTGTGGGTGACGGTTGGGTGTTATTCAAGTCCTGAAAGTGTTTCAGCGTGCGACTCGACTCGTCCGGGATGAGTAGCTGGTTTTGTATAGATTGCGACCAGTTTCCACTCAGCAACTTTGAAAAGCAACCAGACGTTTCTTGTTTTGTTGATTCGGTTGTCTGGTGTTGGTCTGAAAGGTCTCTGGTGGCATGTTATCAGTGACTAGCTAACTAGCATCTCTCGTTCTACTTCGGTTTCATTCTAGTAGTCGACCAATATAGATGTTTTGATGGCTGATGCCAATTCTAATATTGTAGAGAGCAGGGTGGACAATATAAAACCGATATATACCACACAATTTAATTTGAAGAAAAAATACCAGTAAATAACAGTTGCTGCAAGAAAATTGTAAAAAAAAAAAAAAAAAGTTTTTATTTTATTTAGTTAATGAATTGGAGATAATTCTTTGAAAAATGAATCAGTATCAATGAATATCGTAGTGAAATCTGTGCAATAAACGTAAATGTATACTTTTAGACAGCAACTTTTTGTTTCTTTGTTTAACATTTTGTCTAATAATTTATTAAACCGGACTGTTAAACAAAAAGTAATGAAAATGGATAACAGGAGCTCGTGTGGCAAAATAAAGGTTCTGGTATTGTCAAAATAAACGTCCACACTTAACAGCCAAACTGAAAAAAAATATTATAAACTGATGCTGATAATTTAAAAAAAAAAAGGCAAATATTGGCCAACCATTAGTTTATTCCAACACCACTAAAAACAGCATACAATAGACCAATTACGAGTAGACGTCACAGTTACGTCACTTGCAGCTGCGCGCGCATAGTGGTTGCAGAGGTGCCTTTATTTGCTTTAGACATTTCTTGGTGTTTGATGTCCAAAATACGTTTGCTGGTGGCCTTTTTATTGTATGATTAAAGTAATATTCCAGGTTCAATACAAGTTAAGCACTTGTCCCTTCTTTTCTTTAATTAAAAATAAGCATTTAAAGATAAATTTGAGTTGCAGTGAAGCACTTACATTGGACGTAATGGGGCCAATGATGTTAAAATACTCACTATTCAAATAGTATAGCCACAAGACACAAACATTGTTAATATGGTTCTAGTATAAAACGTAACAACGTAATGCCTAAAATTCTAAAATGGCCCAAAAAATGATGAGAACAACGTTACTGCTTGCGTAATACGTGTTTTAACAGAATAATTAATATAAGTTATTATTTATAGTGACTAATTATAGAATTATAAGCTTCACATTCCTGCTTTTAAATCTTCCAAATGTTGGCACCCATTCACTTCCATCGTAAGTGCCTCACTGTAATCTTTTTTTTATTAGGAAAATGAGGGAGTAGTCAAAATTATTTTTGTGGTAATCAGCTGTTATCGACTGAGCTTCACTTGCATTAAATCCGGAAAATTCCATAACATGCCACACCCACAGTGTGTGTGTGTGTGTGTGTATATATATATATATATATATATATATATATATATATATGTATGT